CTTAATTAAAAACTCTGATCTGAGTTTCTTATATCAATCCATCTAACCTCACCCAGAACATGCAATATATTAGTCAGTCCAAGTTCCATGATCATCATGTCTATTTATAAGACTATAAAAAAAAAAAGAATAGTAATTTTCTATACTAAAAGCAAGTATTATATAATAGTATAGAATTACTAAAGTTAATAAAACTATTTAGATATAATCAAAATTGTTCTGTATATTTGTAAATATATTTTAAACTCTATTATAACAGGTAATACTTGAAAGAATCAAAAAAATATCAAATAACTATATAATGTTAAGATCTAAGATATTTGTAATTGAGTTATAATAGCAGAAACTAGCTTAAAATACAGGTTAATAATATCTAAACAAATAAATAAAAAGAAATACTTAACAATAAAATATCAATTCTATCATATAGTAAATCTAACTAAGTAAAAATATGAGTTTTTACAAATCTTAAATCAATGTCAAAATATTTTAGAGAAAATAATAATATGATATATCAAACTGAAAAATTATAAAGATCTATAATCAAAAGTTATAGTACCAATTTGGGAGTTGTATAAAAGCAAGTTAGGTTATATAAAGAAAATAGTTTAAACCAGATATAATAGATTTAAAATACAGAAGCAGTATAAGATATAGATTTAATTTTCCTACTAATATAGCAGTTTAATAGCAATACTCCTTCAGAATAAGAAGTACTTTAATTACAAGTATTAGTTTCAGCTATAGCATATTAGTAGTACAACAAGAATAAAATTAAACACTTATTAGAACAGTTAAGTAAATGTTGAATCACTATATTAGATTAATATAACCTAGGTATAGATTGTAAAATAGTTTTAAAAATTATATATAGTCAAACCTCTTTAAATACAATCTCTATAAATATAATACCTCTCTAAATATATGTTTTTGTCTTGGCTGTATAAAATTATTAGTACTAAATACATATTCTATATTTTGTAAATGCAAGTTTACTTAAAAAATTTTTATATTATACTAATCTTCTTAAATACATATAATCAATCAGAATTTGGTATTAAATTATGTTATATAAACCTGCAAATTAAATATTAAAAACTGCAATTTGATTGGCTCTTCCTAAATGCAAACCTCTCTAAATATACAGTTTCGACTGATCTGTATATGTTGCATTTAGGAAGGTTAGACTATAATATATTTATATATATATCTAATTAAGCATTACTTTTTTTTTAACTTTGGCAGTTTTGTCAGTAATCCTTTATTAAGATTATTTTGTCACAAGCTTTACAAAATATTAAGCTTAATATTTAGACTTGACATTCCACAATTACTTCTAAGTGACCTGTTACATTAGATAAATAAATCTATAAGAAACATATTACAATAAAATAACAGAAAATCTGAAGACCACCTATTCTAGAAAGCTATATCAAATTACTACCCTATAATAGGATATTACCAATCTGATGATATCTTCTTGTAGGGAAGTGAAAAAAGAAAAAAATACTAATACTAATACTAATACTAAAAAGGGTGAAAGAAAAAAAATAAGGGTAAAACAAATCTGATAATTACCTGTATTAAGGGTAGGGTATTTGTTTATATGTTTTTTCATACAAAGCACAAATAAATATACATGTATAACCAAATATACAATTATAATTGGTTAATTTTGCAAATTATTAAATTTTAATTAGTTTATTTTTATGCTATGCACAAACAAATAGTAAACAAATATCCTACTCTTAAGCTAACAAAAATTACATATTACAAAATAAAAAAGTGCTATATCTAACTTTATCCTAATAATATATTTAATTCATACAAAAAAAACAAAAATAGCAGATTTAAACTAAACTAAACTAAACTAGACAGAGTAGTTAAAAGGCACTATTAGTCTTGAAGTATTGTTTAAACAGTTTCTTTCAGTTGAGGCACATCGCTTAATTGTGTTGTCCTTTGGACATGCTCGGTTGCTTAATTCAGACATTCATCAATTTTGTGTTTCTAAAATAAATAAACTATTTTGGAAAATAATCAAACCATTTTAGGAGATAAACAATATCAACTGTTTTAAAAAATTACATGTTAATTTTTTGGAAGAGGTAAGCTGAGATGCTTACTTTTTAACAAAATTTTTTTGAAAAAGTGATAGACCAATGAAACTTTGTGGATTTTTTTTTGTAAGTTTTATGATTGTATAAAGACTATCTTCAGTTTTATTAATATGCTTAGTATCAATCTAGTTGTTCTATATTTCCAGAATATTCTTCTAATTTTGATGCCGAATATAATAAAGAAGTCTGCCAGAAAGAAAGCTTAACCTCTACAAAAACCATCCCAAATAATCTACTTCTCAGTTTTACACACTTGATACTTTGTTGCCAATACATCTACTTGCATAAGACCAAGTATATTATCACTCTTTGATGTCTTCTATAATGTTTTTTTGTAGTTCAGGTTTTTGGAATTGTTGACTAGAGGATCATCAGAAAGAGTTGTTAATCAAGTTTTTGTTAAATAAAGCATTACTAGCTTTTCTTGCCAAGTTAAAAATATATATATATATATATTAGACTTTAGCTTTATATAAAAAATTTTTTATTGTTTAAATAGATTTTTATCTAAGTAGATTTTTTATTTATAAAATATTTTAAATTTTATAAATTAATTTTTTTTAACATTATATTAATTTTATTTTCTTTTTGTATTTTATTTTTATCTTATTTTTATTATTTGCTTATTTTATTTTTTTCTCTTTCTTCTCTATAAAAAGATATAATGATACCCTATTGTAGAATAAAGATTCTAGCAAGGTTGCCAGATACTATCTAAGGATTATAAAAATAAAAATTTACAGTAGATTAAGAATTCCGGATAAAGAAAAGTTTTAATTAGGCGAGTCTATCTTAAATATGCTTTTGAAAAAACTATAATAATCTTCTTTAGTCCAATACAATTTGCGAATACTTCCTAATGTATAGAAACCAATATTTAATACTACATTTCCTGTTTATATAATTATTTTAAACCAATTTACAATTAAAAAAAAAAATATAAACCTCAATTAATTCTTAAATTTTCTACATTAACACAAATTTTTTAAAAGGTTAAAATACTGTAATCTATACAATATGCAACAATATATAGATCATGAACAAGATTTATTCGCGCTATCTAGCAAGTATTTTTGACATTTTTTTTTTAGTTGAGCAGCAGTATACTGATACACATTCAGTTTTATATCCCTAAACATAGACTCATAATCATCACCATATTTATTAATCAATTTTTCCACAAATAGTCGTTCTTCCTCAGACTGATATCGCTCTCTTTTATATACAACTGAAGCTTGTGCTTCTAATTCTTTTTTACAAATTGTGACATGATTAATTTATGGTTTGATCAGTTCCTTGCTAAGCACGAGAATAAGGTTCGACATACAAACCTCTTACAATATCTGTCTTCGCGGGTGTAGGATGAATTTTTGTATCAGATTCTTCATCTTTCTCCTTATCGATAATAACGTCGATCACATTTCCCTGGTCGTCACGTTCAATAATACCTCGATCTGGTTCTCGAGACCTCTTCAGCTCTTCAATGTCTAACGGATTAGGCTCATCACAATATAATTTTTCAACGCCTCCCGCAACACCATTTAAAGATACCATAAGACCCATACGTTGATAACTGGCGATAACAAATGAAATCGTCGAAATCAACCTTCAATACATTGAAATTCTAATAACCAAAGGCTATAATAGATGTGATACATGCTTTTGACGCATTGTGGCTTTTTTGTCCCAGTTTGCAGCAATGATGGAATCATTCTGAAATAATTTAGACAATTAGCTTCAAATTAATTTGATATTAAAACAAAAGTTGTTTCTATACTTTGATACGAGTTTTCTTGAAATGTTTATTCGCTATTCTTCGTGAAACTTTCATGGTTGGGTTACGTGTTTTACGACGTTTCCGAGGAGTGGTCATCGCAAAGAAGTATGTTAAAAAAATCAGGTGATAAACAGGACTAAAAAATTTGAAAATCCTATAAATAGTGTTGTCAAATCAATTTGAAAAAATAATGCATTGTTATGGAATCGTTAGATTTGCGTTCTCTGATTTACGTTGAGGCCACCAATTCGAATCTTATTTGTTGCATTTGTCAGACTCCCTTCATTGATCCAGTGGTTATAGAATCATGCGGGTAATTAATGGGCTTTCTTAACATACATATTAAGATATATTGACAAATACTCTGTTTTAGACACACATTTTGTAGTTCATGCATAAATCAAGCCATAACATCAAGGCCGACTTGCCCAGTTGATCGTTCCAGACTTTCTGACGTCTGTGATCTTAAACCTGCTTCCAAGATAGTATCCAATATGGTTAACGAATTGTTAGTTTACTGTCCAAATAAGGATCTTGGCTGTAATTATCAAGGCCAACGCCAACTATTAAGTTGCCACCTGAAAGAAGGATGCATGTTCACCATTATAGAGTGTTGTAACGAGAAATGTGAAGAATCAGTACTTAAAAAAGATTTACCAAAACACATGGAAAAATGTAAAGCCAAAGTTATCGACCGTGAAAGATGTAAATGTAAAGTTCAGTTAGGTACTTTAGAGGTAAGCTAAACAATGATAATATTTATTAAAGTATTGTTGTATTTGACTGTGTTACTTTTTTGTTGTCTAATTATTTAGACAGC